GTCCCAGACCACTGACTCATACTCATAATACAAGTCAGCTTTATTAAAAAAAAAGAAGAAGAAAGAAAATTTTGTTTTCAAAATTGGAGTTCAAGTTATTTTTACTTCCAATAGTGTTAACATGCTAAACAGGTCATGGACAAGATTTATTTATTAATTTTCATTGTAAGTGGGCTAAAGCAGTTAATTAAAACCAGTCTAACATAAATGTAAATGCTGTAATTTGATTATTTTAATAAACCATGTAACTTGGATGGATTCGATGCTGGCGTGACCACAGTGTACAAGTCTGCTGTTGCTCACAGTGGTCCAAGGGACCGCTCAGGGAGTTTGTGTGTTCGCTCAGACACGTGAAAAATTAGAGGGAACATTGTGTTTTCAGTGAGAGACATTTCATCACCAACGTCCAGATAAAGATAATCAACTTTATTGTGCTATGTTTAAACTTTGTAAATTCCCTCGGTTGTTTGGGTTATCTTGTCTGATTATACATGACCATGCCCTCCACATAGTTCTGCTCGTTAAACTCTGGACAAAATCCATATATTTAACAGGAAGTTATTTATTAAATAGATTCAGATCCAAAACACATGTTAATGAAGAGTTTTCCCATCTGTTCCTCCAGCTGTGCAGATAATCCCAGCTCAAGTGAGCACACCCACTGCTATAAAGGTGTTGAAACAGAACCGTGGTCCCAGAGCACCTCGCATTTCAGGAGGGGAGGAGCGCAGCTCACCTGGGAACCGTACAGGTAGGACACACGCGCACAGCCGCTCTCTAGGCAACTCACTTTTTGTAAAGTCAGAAAGTTTTCAAAAGTGTTCAGGGATAGTTTTGTCACCAATTTTAGGTTTTAGTTTTTAAATTTACAATCTGACAGTAATGTTGCTTTGCATTCAAACTGAAAATGCAACGTTTTTAGCCATTTTGTCTGACAAAACCTTCTTTAATGCGCTATTTTAGACTAAATAGTTGAATACATTTAGAATTGGCAGATTTAGTAATGGTACAAAATACTCCTATTACCATTTCTAATGTTATGTTCTAATCAGTTGTGGCTGTTAAATTGTCTTTTTATTACAGATACACACATTTTATTTGAATAATCTTTTTCAAATACTTTGTGTTGTTTTTCTGTTGTCAGGTAACAATGGTCAGATCCAGCTGTGGCAGTTTCTGCTCGAGCTGCTGACCGACAAGGACGCAAGAGACTGCATCTCCTGGGTAGGCGAGGAGGGAGAGTTCAAACTCAACCAGCCTGAGCTCGTGGCACAGAAATGGGGGCAACGCAAGAACAAGCCTACCATGAACTATGAGAAGCTCAGTCGAGCCCTCAGGTTTGTGTGTTTTTGTTTAATGGCAACTTTTTGTGGCACTCTATCTAAAGTTTGGAGCCAGACATAAGCCATTACCTCACAGGCACCGCAGACAAATGTCTGGTGCAGTGAGATTGACTTTAAACATGCTGCCAACTTTCCAGTACAAAGTCGATTTAGAGTGTAGCTGCAAGTTAGCAAGGCTTCCTCCTGCAGACGCAGACAGCAGTCTTCTTAAAACAGAATATTTCCAGTAGTAGGCCGATGATGCTGACTGTTTCCCTTATGTGGTAATAACAATAATAAAAACAATAGTACATTTTATTTTTTGGCGCCCTTCAAACACACCTTAGCTAGCTAGCCAAACAACGGAGAACCACTTACTGCTTAACAGACAGAGTGAAAGTGGACAGTAGAGCCTTGATTTCTTAACAAAAATGTCATTGTTGCAGCCAGGGACAGCAGAAGAGTGATCCCCTTATTTTCAGTTTCAGTGCCCTTTTTTCTGACTGAGTTATTGGGGTTTTGTTTTTATTTTATTTTATTAGTTAGCTAAAATAAACTACTGTAAGTCTATTAGCAGTAATTAACCAATTAACCTGGAGATGACACATTCTGTACTGACACAAGATGGCGCTCAAAACTTTAAACACTTATCTTAAATCCAGCTTCACAGACAGCGTGACATCTGTCAGGTTTTTGAGAGCAGGGCACCATGGTGTAAATGAGCCTTTATACATGTAGTGCAACATGCCCACTTTATAAATGAAATGGTCGTAGCTTAGTTATAGCAGGGTTTTGAGGTGCGATTTGAACTGTGTCAAAGAATTTAGGCGATAAAAGTGAAGTGGAAGTAAATTCCAAAGACAAAGTGCATCACACCTAAAGGCTCTGGCACTCATCGCTCAGCAGGAGAGCAGCTCAAGCTGAGCAAAGGGAAGGGGTGTAAGGATGAAGGTGGTCTGAAAGATATGGGGCTGCCAAGTCACCGAGAAGGAAAATCTTGCATTGGATATGCTGAGGAATAGGGAGCCAATGAAGCTGGATGAGAATGGCTGTAATATGGTCAGAGTTCTGTACCGTCTGGAGCTGATTAAGGAGATTTTCTGGGAGACCAGAGAGAGTGGTATTGCAGGAATCCAAATGGGAGGCAACCAGGACTTGAGTGCTGTGTTGAGAAAGAAGTCTAGAAATCTTAAGTGGGTGGTAGTAGGCCGAATGTGATGTGGACGATAAAGAGTATTGTTCAAGATGACTTTAAGACTTTTGACGCTTTGGGAAGTGTGGACCTGACAACCGTCTTTAGAGACAACAAAATGGTTTATTTTGTGAAGTCAGGATACGTTTTATTGCCATTGATATTTAGCTGATTGACTGTCACACTAGTAGTGATGGCCTGTAGGCAGGAGTGACGATCCAAGATAGGAGGATATGAAGAGGAAGAAGAGAGGTTCTTTCTGCTACTAAGAGAACTTAGAACAAACCTGATTATTCTGATATTTTAAAATGTAAAGCTGCTGTAATATAAAAGAACGGATACACTGATGTATTGTCCATTATTCATTTGTTGAAAGCCATCTGCATATCTGTTGTCTCTCATCAGTTGATATACTTTGGTGTGATTCTGAGTTTTGCATTTTCATTCAGATACTACTACGACGGGGACATGATCTGCAAGGTGCAGGGAAAGCGCTTTGTCTACAAGTTTGTGTGTGACCTGAGGACTCTGATTGGCTACAGCGCTGCTGAGCTCAACAGCCTGGTGACCGAGTGTGAGCAGAAGAAACTGGCTCGCATGCAGATGCACGGCATCGGGCAGCCGATCACTACAGTGACCCTGGCCACCACGACGCTAGACAAGGACAGCTGAAGGTCGTCACATTATAGCGCTTGTCAGGTGTTGCGGACAAAACGTGCGCTCCACCGCTGATAAAAAACGTCTCTCAGACACAGAAATGCAAAGCTGGTCTCTGATCAGCGTGGATTACCACCTTTATTATTGTCTTTACAGTTTGATTCAAGTTAGACTGAGACAGGTGAAGTTTTTTTTAGCTTTTCTGTTACTCTAACCAAGAGAAGAGTGTTCAGGATGAAGGGAGAATGTCTTTCTGATTACTGATTGTTGCGTGCATGTCATTGAATGCTTGAGTGTGACTGAAAAATCCAGTTAAGAGCTTTGTGTTGTGTGTTCCTTGTCTGTAGTTAGGACCATTTCCACTGTATATACCGGTATTTCATGTTTTTGATAGCCACAAGGGCAAGTGTATTTTCATATTTTCCATTTATAGAGGACCCGTTTTGTATTTTATTTAGTGTTTGTTCCCTGAATTATTGGACCCTTTTTGTCCACTGGGGGAATAAAGTGGCAAGCATTTTCTTAATAGCTGTGTGAGAAGTTTCTCTTTTTAAGACTCACATTGACAGACACCCAAATGCTTCTATGTACATTCAAAATTTTATTGATGGTATAGTGAGTGTAGAAAGCTTTTTCTAAGCAAATTGTTCATTTAACTACACACAGAGAAAGGTCACTGAATCAATGAGCAGAGGGACAAAGAGTTTGTTTCATCACTAGGCTCCAAAGATACCCAGAGTGAGCATCAATACAAATTGAAACATTTGCCTGATTAAGAGCTTCTGTCAGTGTCTATCCACGTGTGGGTGCAATGTGCAGGCGATATGTGTTGTATTTCTCATAGAAATGCACAATATGTCACATTCATGGTTAATAATTTAGAGAGAGGGCCATGTTTCCTCCTAATAAGTTACAGATTCGACAGGAGCTGAAATATTGAGCACTGGACAAACAGAAGCGCTGTACACGTATACATTGGTGATGTAGAAAAATAGAATGTGACATTTGGTGGAGGAATGTGTCCAGAGAGGAGAAAATGTCTGATTTCCCCACGCCCAAACAGTCCTATTTATGAAATGCTCACATACGATGTCCCAAAGTGCCGCAATGTACAATATTGCTGACACAGCAAGAAGGAGAGGATAAACATGAGGGAAGGGGGGTTGGGAAAGAAATGACTGGAAGTGGGAATGGAAGTGAAGGAAGGTGTCGTCATCTGAATTATTTACAGCAAAGACAGTGGAATGATAGGCTTTCATAAAAACTTTCCATCTTAAAAGGTTTGAACCTCGAGCCTCTTTCTAAGAAAAATCCAAAGTGCAGCGACAGTTGGCATCAGAGACTGTAACAGCAATATTTGGTGGCAATAATCAAAACTCCCAAAAATGACAAGAGTGCATAGAACGCAAACAAGTAACACAATCATCTTCCTTTCGGATACTATTACACTTCATATATTACATACATAGAGCTTTTTTTTCTGCCCATGCAGCTAACACAAAGTGAAGCATGGAGATGAGCAATAAAGAGCCAAGATTCAGTTAAAGCAAGTCTGTGACGACAAAGCAGACCGGATTCTGAATACTCGTTTTTTTCTTCATGTCACAAAGAAGACGCCAGAAATGTACAATCCTTCTAAAATATCTAGGGAGAGGACCCCCCCCCTTCCCCTCCTCGTCCTGAGGACCTTCACATACAGTATACTTTTAATCAGTCATCAATATTGCCATGCACTACATATACTTACAGCTAATCTCTGTCTTAATATATTACACGTTTTTAAAAAAAAAAGTTTTTCCTGCTTTTACATATTTTTGATTGTATATATTTATGTATTTTTTTCTTCATTTTTTTCTCATTTTTTGAAAAATAAACCTGAAACACTATTCGTGCGACGGGTCGCTCTGAGAGCTCTCGTCGGACCGGTTTGAGGAGCAGTGAGGGAGTAATTGGTAAATTACAAGTTTCGGCTGTGGGTGTCTTACTGCCGTGATCACGTATAAACAGTCGACGGGGGGTTTTCCAGTACAAATGCTATGAGAACTCCAGGGGCTGACTGAAATGTGTAGGTGTAACAGGATACCTTTGTCTAACCGGGCTGCTGGGTAATGCTTAGCTCTGTACAATCAAGGGATTTAAGGAGGCTTTGTTCCATATCAGTTTTCTTTGGCCCAAACCCCTGACAAAAGTGTCTCCTTTCCTTTTCAAAGACACAAACCAGGCTATGCAGTCATCCTCGCACCCTTCACCTCCTGAACAGGGCGCTGAAGGTGCTGGGGCTGAGGGCAAAGGAGCTGAATGGAACAGAGCGCAGGCTGACACTGTGGGGGAAATGTTGTTGTGCAGCTTTTTAGTTCTGCATCTGCTCGAAGAATTTGTAGGTGGGATTCTCGTAGCCGTTCTGCTGCATCTTGGCCAGGTGACGCTCCTCTGGCGTCACAGCTGCATCCACCTTTGGACAAGAGGATGAGGAGTTACTAACACGCGAACCATGTTTGATCTATGAGCACAAACTGGTGAGCCTTTTACCTCGATCACGCCGTGGTGAATTGAAGTGTACTGTTTCTTCCTCAGCATCACCAAGGTAATGACAATGACTGTTGCTATGACCACCCCACCAACCATCAGCCCGATAATGGCGCCTTTATTGGATCCAGCGTCATTAGCGAAAAACACCTGACATTAAAGAAAATAATAATAGTAAGTCAGTCATAAATCCCTGAAGGAGATGATATTTGATGACTGGGTTTGCTGGGTTTTCCTACCAGTTTTTCATGATAAACTTCATATCCAGCACTCTGCCTCTCTTCAGTGTCCATCCGCACTTCTGGCATCTCCTCCGGCTTCAGGGCAGACACTGAAACCACAGAATCAATCACCCAAATTAATCCCAGAAATCGAGCACATGGATTTCTGCATCTCTCCTAAAACAGAGAGAAACAGAAAATCATTTGCACCCACAGCCATCAGACCTTTTAATTCTCATCCAAATAGCAGATGAGCTATTTAAGACATATGAATTTCCCTCTGGGATTTAAAAAAAAAAAAAAAGATTCTTATCCTTAGTCTTATAGGAAATGAAGCAGTAGAAAGACATTTAGAGGTGAAATAAAACCCCAAACTGTCTTTTAATACACAAACAGCGGGAGGAGGTGATTTCATTTGACACTGTGGATTCCTGTAAAGTCCTCAGAGTACGTGGGATTATTTGCCCCCGTATTAATCTATCAAGTAGTTGAACAATTTTTGGTGGATCAAAGGACACTTAAAAGAGTCTCATCGAAACCCAGGAGCCAACCACATCTCAAATGAATCTCGAAACTGGATATAGACCTGCCTTGTAATTTTGAGATGTTTTTATTTGGCATAAGTGTCAAATGCTATTATCCAATTATAATCATTAATCCTTCACCAACAGCAACTGATAGAAAACTTGCGTGTGATTCAAATACAAATCATTTACAGGAAAGGAATACAACAGCTTTGTGCAGATGTTGCAACACTTTGATTTGGACATATGCACACCACTTATTATTGTAACATTGTAGAGTATTTCAATCACTTTACTGCCCAGTATCTTGTTTGTGTGTGTTTATAGTCTCCTGTCACACTGTGGTGCTCCGATTCTTGGTGATGATGTCGCTGCCGTTATGGAGCTCACTTATGTTTATCTATGAGACACTTCTCTATCAAACACTAAATGTTTTTTTTTCCAAAAGGATCAAAAAGGCTACAACCTAATATTAAAGAAAGCCTGAAAGCTTTAGTGGAATTATAAAGACTCAGGAAACTGTAATAACTTATTGCTGTCTTTCAGCTCTCCAACTAACAGTTTAAAATCACTCATTTAAGGTTAGCTTTTCGCTCCTGATGCTTTTAGACGCCACTCTTCTTCCTCCTCTCATTTCCCTCATCCCCAAACCAATCGTGCCAGAACGCTTCCCCCTCCTTTAGCCTGGTTCTGCCAGAGGTCTCTTCATCATGTGTGTCCTCACAGGGGATTCTCTCTAATATATTAGGCTCTTTTTCATGTAGTATAAAGCACCTTATAATAACTGTTGTTGAACTGGTGCTTATTAAATAACAGGAATTGAGTGAAACTGAATATAGCCAGTGTTATATTATGTTCATACTCCCTGAGGTTTCTCTCTTCAGTCTCCTTCTCTCATCTGCTTAAGAGGAGCACAAGTTGCACCTGTGCTGCTGTTTCGACTGACTCTTAGCATGAGGTCTGGCAAGTGCAATGTTAGAAACGACCTGAATTTTGAAACCTGTCCTTAATATGCAGTAAATGTATACGAGTGAGGATGTAAGTATGCACTTGTGTTTCCGTTTGGACTTCACATACATACCAGGCCGTGTGGGGAGTCCTCTGTCTGGAATTGGACGAGCATCGACGGGTTCAACTACAGAAATACAGCGTGTAACAAAAATATTCAATATCAAACCACATTTTTAAAAAGTTAATAAAATTCAATTTATGTCACAAAATGTAGTGTGTGTTACCATGGTTCTCTGTGTTGGGCTGATTGAAGCTCTCAGGGTGAATGAACCCCAGCCCATCCAGGCCAGGGTCCATAGGAGCCGAGCTGTAGGCCTGATCAGGCATCAGAGCGTCGTTGCCATAACTCACCCTGCCATCCATCTGCAAACACAGAGGAATGTTAATCAGGATACGTGGCGTTTGGGTGGCTTTTTATTTATAACCCGATCAAATTATGATGTCTATGTGGAAAAGATCACTAATAAAACCTCATTTAAACAGGCGCAGTATCACAACATCATTTTCTTTGTTAATCGCTTTAATTACACCACTCCCATCACGTCAGTGGTTACAGTGACTTTGTTTTGTCATGTCAGTCTATGTGATTCCAATATTTATGCCAGAATGTCCACGTTCACAAAGAAGACTTTGCATTTGTGAGTTGGTGCAACTTGACTCACCCGACCATCGCTCTGCAGTGAAGAGACTTGCTGAAACAGCTCCGCCTGAACTCGCTGCATTATAATTGCTACAAAGAAAAGGAACAAAATGAGAATGAAGCAGATGGTTAAGTGATGACAAATCCGAGAAAGGAATGTGGCGGTTAGAGGGAAAAACAAATCAAGGCTACACAATAGCCTAAAGTGGTGAAAGTAATCATGGCGGAATGAAACTGCATTATCAGTGTTTTAGTGTCCTGTAATCAGTGGACTTCAAACACATGTTAAAAGCATCGCTTTAATTCACACTACAGGGAGTTAAAGGGTACTGAATAAGTGTGGTTTGGATGGTTGTTGCATAACACAGATTGTATAATCTCAAGTTTTCTATTTAATCAGGACAACATAAGATCTCAGAATCTCTTTTTACATATGCTGCCCAAAGTAGCAGCACATACATAACAACAGTTAAGTACACACAATTAGAAAATAAACACACATAAAAACAGAGAAACAACCAAAATGTATAAACTTTGTTGTCAATAAAAAATGAATACCTCGGTAAAAGTAACTGGATAATGCTGGAAACAAAGGTAATAATACTCAGGCGAAACATTTGCATCCGAGGAATTTAAAAATTGCCTTAAATTCATGAAGTTAGAGCAGTCCCTCAAGTTTTAGTTGATTCTCGCTTATTTCAGGAGGAAATTCCAAATTCCACATGACCCTTTGGGACAGGTAGAGGGAATGAATCTTGGGACCTTGGGGCCTAAAAGACAAGCTTCCCACACTTTTTTTGATGAATGCAATTACACTTGTTTTCTTAATAATGGCCAAAACTGGTCTGATTCGATATGTAGCCATCTGTAGTGGACTACAACGGTGAAACAGGGGAACTGAAAAAACCCGATGAAAGATGCAACATTTATTATCTGACTTTTTCACTCTCTTTTATGAGCTGAGACTCTGTCCGTTGAATATTACTGTCACTGTGGCTGGACTTATGCTTTGCCCTACACTAATGTTCAAAGGCATATTCACATTTCTGCCATTGTCAAATACAGGCTTTTGCAGTTACATATAATCTGTAGGAGTTGGTACACACCTCATGCTGTAACTGGCATATCTACATGTAACGGCATATCTCCTCTGCTTCACCTTTCTTGGTTAAAACGCAAATCAAAACCAAGCTATCAGTCTTTCGATGAACCATGCTCGCCTTTATTTCTTTTTAATATCACATTCTGTTCCAGCATGGTCCCTTTGACCCACTAAGCACTGGTCTCTGCCTGAACAGCATGCCTTAGGAACGAATTGAGAAAGACTTTCTCCCAGCAGGTAAACTGCCCCGTCAAACAAACCAAACAAACAAACAACATAAAATATAAGTGAAAAACTTTAGTCATCGGCTTTCACAACAATTAAACAAACATGCTATTATATGCCAAGTAAGACAAGTGCTGACAGGTGGAAGGTTTTTCCCATTCTGAAGGCAACAAAACAGCCATTTAATAGGACTGTCAAAATAATCCCTTTATGTCTGCTGAGCACTTGTACCTCTTGCTGAGTGAGCAATTGCGTTTAGCATGTGAATAAAACAACAAGAATACTTTCGTAGATTTCGCAACCTATGACCTAATTTTAATACCAACTGCCTAAAACCAGTGAGGCACTGGAAGCTACAAATGACATTTGGATGAATTCTCAGTAATAGATGTTTCGGGGATTTACTGTGATGAGTGTCCTCAACCTTTGACTTTTAAGAATAAGACATGAAGAAACACATACCGACTTGGTTTTGGATCTCATTTGCCACACTTGGCACCTTGTAGAGCAGACCCAACGACTGATTCATCCTCTCATCAATGACACGAAGATGAGTCAACACCTGGAGATGAGAAAAAAAACCCCACTTTGTGATTGTGTCTATTTTAAAAGCCGTAACTTATTTTTATGATGCTTAAAGACTTTGACTGTTTGATCCAGATACCTGAGGGCGGATCTGAGCAGCCTTCTTGGGATCGACTGTGCGGACGTGCTCATAATGCTTCAGCGTGTGCTGCCTGTCCTTCTGCTCTGCGCGGATGTACTTTTTCAGCAGGCTCAAAACTTGACGGGACTGGTGGTGGCACAGGGTTATGTAATAAGTGGAATTCTAACACGTTGGATACGCTTCTTAAACATGTGCGCCTTGCTGATAAACAACTTCAAAAGACTCATTGATCAAAACTGTTTGGCACCAATTTAGAGTATTAAATCAATGTAGCGTTCCTGTTATTAGGATGTTGTTAGGTGTGTGGGGACGTGCACGTACCCGTGGAGGATTGGCCTGCAGGGCGCTTAGGTAATTTTCGAGAGCCCGGCGTCGGCGGCTGTTCAGCAGAGCTTCCACCCGGGCCATGTGGGTTTCCACCAGCTGCTGCCTCTCCCCCGCTGCCTCCTGCTCCAAAGCCTCCACCTTTATCTGGAAGTGCTGCAGATACAGTACTTTTTACACAGTCGGTATATGAACAAATACCCACACTGCATTACGGTAGAAACATGTGTTTGGAGAGAAGAGGTCTGTCTTATTTCCACCATTAAATACAATGATACACTTTCAACCTCAGGCCTGACAGATATATTGGCTAACAAGTATCACAGGCTGATATTGGCCATCATCATTTATTTATCTGAAATGTATTCTACAGGGTTAAAAATACTGACGACCTCCAATGCTACTCCTCAGCCTTCTTGAGTTATCACATTTACAAGATTTTCAGAAGACTTGACATGTGGACCTTGAGGTCAAGTATTTTAGTAGATGCACATATGGTATCAATTTTCAAATTTTACGTTGCCTCATTCTTGAATTGTCTTGTTCATAAACTTGGATGTCCATGCTGCTCGCCCAGCCACCCATCGGGATGACGACAGCACCCCATCGTCCTTTTACTGCTCAAGTGTAAGTTTAACCTCTCGCTGACCCTTTTCAGAATATCAGCTGACACATCGTCAATTACAATTATTAAATCTTATTTTTAGCTCCCTGTCGCAAACTCCATGGACATTTAAATCCATTCAATTCATTAGGGTTAATTAAGATATAATAACTCACTCAACTGGCTTTAAATGTAATCTCCCTTATAAATGCACCCGTAACCAAGAAACTCTAAATTCTATTTCTCTTAAACTTTTGCCAAATTTGTCCAGGATAATATAAATCTCAGTTATGTAATGTATATGTATGTAATGTAACTCTTTTTGGCAATTAGACATTTACAGCAGACACTGTGGCCTGATTCCTACCTGGATGACTGCTTTCTTGTCTGCACGAGGCAGATTCTTGGCCTGCCTCTCAGCCTCCTCCCACTCCTTCATAACCTGAAGTGTCAGATTGAAAGAAAAAGCAAGACGTTTAAGCTTCTGTCATGGTCTACATCAGCGGTCCCCAACCCCCGGGCCTCGGACCGGTCCGTGAGTCGTTTGGTACCGGGCCGCGAGAGTTGAGGCTCAGGTGTGAAATGTATGGTTTTCAGGGTTTTAATCGGTTTTCAGCGTTATTTTGTTATCGTTTTTACCGTTAACTCGGTTTTCCTGGGTCTTTTTACGCGTGTCATCTTTTTTTTTTATTTTGTTGTATTTATCCGCGACACCTTAAAGGCCGGTCCGTGAAAATATTGTCGGGCATGAACCGGTCCGTGGCGCGAAAAAGGTTGGAGACCGCTGGTCTACATCACATTGAGAGGAATGCTTACGATAAGAAAACACACAAACACACACCTGGGACATCTTTTCACGGTGTTTGGCTTCCAGGCTTTCTTTGGCCTTCTGGAAGTCTGTGTGTTCGCTGTCGTCACCGGGTGATTCCAGGTAGCGATCCACAGCGTCTGGAGGACTGGGGGCCATTGTTGGTACTGGATGAGAGTGCGGGGAGATGGGAATTAAACACAGAGCAGTTGAAAGCAAACTGAGGCGCAAAACAGAGATAGACAGATGTTTAAATGCAGGAAAAACACTGAAATTGGTCAGCTGGAAACCCACAATGCATTCAGTTATAAACAATTCCACTTGTTTGATGAAAGGGTGGGTTAGGGACTTGAGAGATTAGGTACACACAGAAAATTAATGGAAATTCTATGTAAATATTTACATAAGAGATAAGCAGGATTTCAGGGGACAGAAAGTGAAGTGTTTCCCACAGTTTTGTGTGTCTGTTGAATGTGGGACCATGGAGATAAGGACTGCTGAGTCAGGATGAGGGCCGACTGTATTGCTGATGATTTCGCCGTGAGGAAACGGAAACCAGCTTAAAACTTAAAAGAGTGCATTCCCTTTTTCCACACACACCACCAACACACATCTGGTTAAGACACACCGATGGAATCTTCACTACTACAGAGCTGCAGGCACAATTTTTTTTTTCTTTTACAAACACACACTGCAGTGTGAAGCATGCAGACACACACACGGGTATAGAAACGCATGCAGACACAAGGTGGCATTCACCGTTGGGTCTTCACACTGTTATGACGGCGGTGCGGGTTAGAAATGATTCAATGAGTGATTAAATGGTTTGGAGGTGAACGACTGTGTCATGGCCACTCTGCACCATGGAAACTCTCCCGTTGGCCAGTAGGATTTAAAAAACTAAACTAAACTAAACAAAAAAAACAAACAAAAAAAAACAAAAACAAAACACTGCTGGCACTGAGTCACGCACTAATAAAACTGCAGTTTATCTTCATTTAATCCCTCGTTTATCATTCTAATTAAGCAGAATTAACCCTGTTTTAGTGATTTGCTTAAACCCACAGTGTCCAGAGGTTTCAGGGAGTAATCAGCCTATTTAAATAATGACATTTATTTTTTTCATATTTCATATGTGGGTTTGACTTATAAGGGAGTTCTCATAAAGAGGTATCTGAATTGCAAAGAAGCAGTGAAATCACAGATCTGTGAAGCCTGCTAACACGTTAACAATATTACTTATATAATGTTAAAGTCACTTTTCAATGCAAATTAGTTTGATTTGTAGGATTTCACACATTAAAACGAACTAGGAAAATAGGATTTCCAAAAATAAAAAAATAAAAAAATCTACATGCCACGTTATCTGTTGTTAACGCCAGCAAGGATGTATTTCAACATCGAGCTACCACAGGGTGAGTACACTATTGTGCAAGCTACACCTGTTAAGAACACAAAAGAATGTTATTGAAAATTATGTAAACATTTGAGCTGCACTCTTAGCCAAAAACCCCACGTGTTTGTTTAACGCTGTGTTTGAACCGTGTGTGCTACAGTGAAATCTATAACAAAGGCAGCAGCTAAACCCTCTCGAGGCAGGCGTTGCCGATTTGCAACTAACATTCTGATTACCCCACATACATATTTTATGAGTTTTTTTTACTCAGAAGTACCACTGCAGGACTTGGTTGTGCATTAGCAACAAAAGGTTTAATTTGAGCCTGAGAGGGTTAATGTTAGAGTTAAGGGGGGGGGGTTCTCTTTTTACCTAAAAAACAAAATGAGCAATATTCCCCAGAGTGTCAGCAGTTATTTGGTACACTGTATGTGTGCCACATTTTCACTTTTGACTTTTGAGAGATTTTTCTCCTCAGGTAGAACTAACAATGATTTGGTCCTTTTGAACTAGGTTTGCTCACAGCCTTGTAATGTTGTGGCCCTCTTTTTTCTTCTTCTTGTGTCTACTTTTGCTTTCCAATTCAAAAATACAGTTTCTATCTTGATGGAAAAAATGATGAAATGAATGAAACTACAGCCAGTTGTCAGTGCTCTGAAAGGTTAACAGGCCTCAGACGGTAAGGTCAGTGAGAGACAGAAAGAACGAGCGAGCCAGAGAAACAGTCTGCAGCAGCCTGAGGACAGGAATCAGGCTCCTGATGTGGACACTTCAGGTTGTAGCTTCAGTCCCGGGACTTACACGAGCTGCTGCAGACAGCGAGGCAGTACTCCTCCGACTCAAAGTTATTCCTGTTGCCCCCACAGCCCCCAAACAAGAAGGGGGCGCAGCGGCCCGTCTCAGGCATGAAGTACCAACGCTCCAGCATGGCGTGACATGGGCCTGACTCAGCACTAGCCCAACAAACCGCTGAGACATGTACACATAGGCAAATTAAACATGAATGCAAAAGGTGAGGTTTGGAATTTTATGGGAGACAGAAGTAACTCAACATAGCGACACATGATGGAAATCAAACCATGAACAAAAAACAAACAAACAAAAAAACTTAAGGAGAGTGAGAAGAGGGCAGAACTGCTTCATTTCTCACCTCTAACGACCTCTTCAACTGACTCAGTGGTGGTGGTTGTCGTTGTTGTCATGGCGATGTTAGCGTTGGGCTCATCGCCATCTCGGTCATCCGTCATATCGACTTCCTCGTCATCTTCTTCTCCATCCCCGTTGTCATCCCTTTCAAACGTTTCCACCTCTTCGTCCACATCCTCGTCATCCTCCCTGGCGGCCAGCTGTATGTCCGTTGGGCGGGTCATGCTGCGGTCAGAACGGGTGGTTCAGCCTTTGTATCAACAGGCGTGCACAGAAACGAGTCAAAGTCCACCTGTGATCGTACCTGTTATCAGAGTATTCGCTCTCAGCTCCGCCCCACCACACATCGGATTCCTCCCCCTGAAGCTGTGCGCTGTCTGACTCCCGTTCAGCCCAGGCCGGGCAGCACACAAACTCCACCCCTCGAAAACGGTCTATACCACATGGCAGCAGCATCCCGTAGTCATGGAGATTCATGGAGCGGTCTCCGCAGTACTAATTTTAACAGCACACAGCATCCAAAATCAAACACCATAATGTTCAATCGGTTTAATCCTTATGAGAGCTAACTGCGGCAAACCCAGAAACCTGAACTATGGCTTACTGAATATAAACAGCACAGAAAAGGACAAGAATAACTCAGAAGAAAGTGCCAGGGAAGGCTGACAGCACTGAGTCATACAGTGGCGCTACCACAGAAACAGAAGGACAATGAGGGAAGCAAACAGACACAAAAAGCCACCCTCCTCACCTCTTTGGCTACAGTGTGCCAGTACAGGTGGCTCTCGCATTGATCCATACGCTCCTGGTGCAGAAACTTACACTTGTCGGGAACGAGCAGGGCGTCACTCACAAACTCTCCTACTGCAACAGAAATACACCTTTTTGCATGTATTGTACACTTTTAAAGATGCAACCATGCATAAACACACTCAGTAACAAAGGGACTAAAAAAAGCTCACCCAGACAGCGGTGTGGCACCACAATATGTGCATGACTGCGGCATTGCCTGCGGTCCTTCCTGCACCAGTTGGAGATACTGACAGGCTGGTTGGCCTCCACAACATTTGTAATCTGCAGCTCTGGGTACACCTGTGCAAACATGGGAGATTTGAATGTTATTGCTGCAATACTTCATACCTCTCTCTCTCTGCAGTGCTGTTTTACTCGGTTGAAATACCTCCTGGCAGTACTGCAGGATGCCCTCCTTGGTGCCAATGCAGCTCTTGGTACCAGAAGGGTCGGACTCCCATTTGCCGCTCTGCACATTGATGTGCATGTTGAGCTTCCCGCAGAACATGGCCACCTGGGGCTCGGTTAGCAAACCCACCGAGTCATCATCTGGCACCTGGACAGAGAAAAAGTATAAAACAGAACAATAACGAAAACTACCAAACTCCCTAAAGTATAGCTTATCCATAAATATCTCATCATGCAGCTTATACTGTATGTACCAAGTTCCTCTGAAGTCATTCTACTGCATACTTCAAATATAAAGTAGTGAGATTAGTAAGTCATAAAGATGAATGCTTTTAAATTCCTCAACAATACTACTGCCATAGAACAGCACATTTTTTGTTCTCTTAATCTGTCTGTCAAGTCTGGCTTTACTCCATTAGTTAAAGTACAATGGGAGTGTTCAGAAGGGAAAATAAAAGTAATCTACAAGGTATTAAATTCTAGCTACGAAAAAAAACCCATAAGGTATAAATAATGTCTTTCCATAGAACTGGGTTTGGCAGTCGATTTCATAGGATACTGCTATCAGCATATTTTCCATCCTTTTTGTTTGGGACACAATTGGTGGAAGTCTCGATGTGTTTTCGCCTTTGTGAGGCCTTGATTTTCTGGCAGATAACACAAAAAAGCTGATGGTGCACACTGACAAAACGCTAGCCTCTGAGCCAACTGTTGTCAATTATTAAATGACTAATTCTGACATTATGATGCGTTTGCCTGTGAATAACAGCACATAATTAGACTCCTGTGAATATGCATGTCATAACCCATTGTTTCTAGTAGCTGTTCTGCCTGGTCTGCATTATGTTACCTCACTGATTTATATTTCTAATTACATCTTCTTGGGGCATATCAACTGAGGATGTGTGTGGTTTAATATCTGCTGAAGGGCACATCATTCCACTCATAGCTATTCACCCCATATACTAGGTGGGTGTCTCGCTCCAAATATCTGTAGCATCAATACTAACGCTGGTACTAGTATTGGATCGATACTAGCGCAATAGGATCGATACTTTGTTTCTACCCTCCGAGTTCAGTATACAGCCCACTGAATTGTGTTAAAAAAATATTTTCTTTTGGAAATGTAAGAATAAAGCTCAAATATTAATTTTAAAAAATGTCTGAAACTTTTTGTGTTGACTGTCACATTTACTTTATTCCAGCTTATAGCACGTTTAAACAACAGAAGTTCACCCAAAGCACTTCAGAGAGGGGCAGATGTGCATTCCAGGTCTCACCCCAAAAAAGCAGTCTCAAACTACATGAAAAGCTGAAAGCTGTGAAAATCATGATTTAGTGGTCATCAAAATGTGTTCAAAAACCTCCTTGTGTCCTCTGTAGTTAAACCTAGTTTTTACCAACTAGGTCTAATCTCTAAAGCCAAGCCATACTTACCACATGAGGATCTTGAAAAACATATTCATGCCTTTGTCACATCTAGATTAGACTACTGCAACTCCCTATACACTGGTCTCCAATCTGCCCTTCTACATAGACTGCAACTTTCTCAAAATGCTGCGGCACGCCTCTTAAATGGAACTGGTAGGTTTGAGTCTATTACCCCAATTCTCTTTGACCTACAATGGCTTCCCATTAAATATTGCATTGATTTTAAAATCTTATTGCTTACTTTTAAAATCATAAAAAATATTGCACCTAGCTACCTTACTGATCTTCTCAGCCTCTATATTCCCAGGAGAGCACTGAGATCAACAGGCTTATTGCTCTTGGTGCAACCTAGGTCACAGCTAAAGACCAGAGGTGACCGTGCTTTCGCTCCATTTGCACCTAACATCTGGAACAATCTCCCACAAGCTATTTGCGTGTCTGATTCGATCCAGACTTTTAAATCTCAATTGAAAACGTATCTATTTGGTTTAGCCTTCCTGGCTATCTAGAGTACGCTTCTTGTAAGTATACTCTCATGGAACCCCTTTTCTTCTGTTTTGTTGAACAATGTTTTGTATTGATTTTACCTTTGAAGTTTTATTTTGATATCTGCTTACCTTGTATGCTTGATTAATCAATGCTTTCTACCTGCTAGCTTATTTGCATTTGTATTTTGTTACTACCGGTACTTTTACTGGATTTTGTGAAGCACTTTGGTGTACCTCTGATTTTAAATTTGCTATACACATAAAACTGTATTGCATTGTACAATTTGCAGATTGATGATGCTTTAGATCATAAAGCAACCTCTTCTCGGTGAGAAGCCGGGGCTTGGGAGAGCCCGATTGTCCTGCGGAGACGTTTCCCATAAGGCTGGCCAACATGATAGACAATGGGCAGGGCTGTGAGTACTCAGACTGTGTTTACTGAACGCAACATGGATAAGATCTTGGAGAAGCTCATGGCTCTGCAATATGGATAAGATCTTGAGGTGACACTGCAACGGGAATTGAGAGACCTGGTGGCCAGTGATGGACATTAGACCAACTGCAAAATTGGATGCAGTTTGTTTGCACTGACCAAAACAACTACCATCTCACCTCATTCTGCCCCCTGGCACCAGCTGGATGCTCAAGGCAAAAGCTGATAGGAATAACAAAATTCTCCCTTAGATAACAAAACTGTTTTTGTGACTTTCTCCCACCTCCTTCAAGGCCACCCGTGTTGACCAAAGATTGTGGACTTTTGCCTAATCGAGTAAAGGGAGACTTTCTCTCGGCTGAACACGGAGAAAACACACACACACGCATATGGGCTCAAATTGTGGTCATAAATATTTTGTACTTTTAAATCAGGATTTGTATATGTAAAAAGAATTTGTGCGTGCGTAAAAAAGATTTGTTTCAAGTTACAAGTACGAATTTTGACCCTATTTTTCTTCCTTTCATCTGGTTGGTCAATGTCATGTCAATCACAAATGTAACTATCCAATCAGAGAATAGATGGGTTTGTCTGTCAGAGGGGCGCTTTTTTAAACTGCAGGTCCTTGAAGGGTAATACAGTTGGAAGCTAGAGGATCTCTATGTAAATATCCGATAGAAGCTAGGTCCCCTAACTTTCAGTAGCTGTTGAAAGGATAAAGTTGTGGTATATTAGTGGTTAGAAATACCATTATTACTTTAGGATGAGTTTAACACAAAGTCAGGGCTGACCCGGCTGCTGAGCTCTGTGGGTTTTTGCAGCAGCTCTACCTGTACTAGATGCACCTGCTCCTTGTTGTTTCTATCTCTGACTCTGACGCTGTTGAAAAGGCTCTGGAGGTCCCTGTATTAAGCACGTAAACCTGTGACACAAAACTCGGACCACCACAGACTGTTTTCCTTCGTGGTGATGAAGGAAAACGCTGTGCTGCACTGCTGGCATGTAAAAGGGCATTTATTTCCTTCAAGGACCTGAAGCTCCATAAAGCACCCCTCCAATAGCCAAACCCATCTGTTCTCTGATTGGATAGTTAAATTTGTGATTGACATGACATTGGACAAACAGAAGAAAAATAGGGTCAAAATTCATACTTGTAACTTGCAACTTGAATGCAGTTTCTCACACATTTTTTTGGCTAAGCCCACACACAAATCTTTTTTACGCACACACAAATTCTTTTTACACATACAAATCCTGATTTACAAGTACAAAATATTTATAACCACAATTTGAGCCCATACACGCACCCCGCTCCCCCCCCCCTCCTCCCTCCCTTCTCAAACTGATTTCCTGTTGGAGCTCAGTCTGGGGGGAGTTCTCCTCCTTCTGGGTCGCTGCTTGTGTGGTCGACCGGCCAGTCAGCTGAGCAGTTTTGCGTTCTTAAACGTCATGCTGCTCTGTTGTATCTTAATTGCCCCTTGGGGATAAATAAAGTCTCTCTGACTCTGATAAATCATGACACACTGCCTTCCCTGGTTAAAAGTATAGGCAACACTGGCCCTTGATTTACTTGGTATCACATTGATATCAAATTTGCGTTATCACAGCACTACCATATACTCCATTACTTATTTATGTCTTTCAAAGTGACGCTGCCTGTTTTCATATTTAAGCCTCAACCAGTTTTTCATAAAGCCGCATGTTACTAGTAAACCAATCCAAGATTACCCTAAAATAACTTAATGTATTTTGGTGCTGCAGGGCTTGTATATCATTTTCACATTACGACAAAAAAACAAACAAAAACAAAACAAAAAAAAACAATAAAACAAAAATAGAGAAAGCGAAATCACTACAGCATAATAGGCTTGTGTGTGCTGGGGTAAACTAAACTGGCAAGAGAGTAAAACAATCCTCGGTATGCTTACCGTGACAAACCTCGTGGAAAATTATAATCTCTATATCGCCGGAGGCTTGGTGCGTAAAAGGCAGCACAATGCTGATTTCAACGTTACAAAACAAATGCGGCTCAAATGTCACGACAGACACGGGTATGGTGTCGATAGTGTGTACCGCATAATTTTGCTGTGGAGACATTTTCACTGCACCACACACAGGGGCTGGTGAGCCTGCAGCGTGAAAAACAACCCCTTCGCCGTGAATGTAATGACAATGAGGAAAAATGCACTAATTGATTTACAGGTGCCCATTCATCCTTTTTTCCAGCTGTCCTGGGCAACATATTCCTCTGTGGTCCATCAGAGGAACACCAAGCTGCAGGCGCCATCTTGCTTGTGTGAAACTAATAAGGCTGCATCCTTTTTCCATTCTCCTCAGCAGTTTCACCGCCCCGCAGCTCCGCTGGACCAGGCGGCCCAGCGCGATATTATCTACGCTATATAAAAATAAATAAATAAATAAAAGGCTGGTGTCACCGGACACAGCTGGGTTATTTACACACATGATAAACCCTTCTTGTTTTTCTAGAATGGTACTGGGTTTAAATCCGTCCAGGTATTTAACAGTGGACTTGACATTTACAGCTGTGTTGTCATTTTCTAGAAAAAAGCTAGCCACCGTTAGCTCCCTACATCCTTCTCGGTGCTATAACCCGGCGAAAGGCGTAGCGGTTAAACTGTTAATACTTCTCTTAACGTAAAAATCAAACATTAATGAGTAGTAGAAGAATGAAAAAATAAAAAACACTCCGTGATTAATAACATCCGACATGACAGGGCCAAGATAACCACTGACATCTAACGGTAGGCCGCGGTAGCATTGCTGACATTCCTGGTTTGGTGGTTTATTTTGCGCAGCGACTCTGTGTGTGTACACTGCAGGTCTGCGATTAAGGTGGATTCACAGGGCATATTTTCACCTCTGTTAAAAACAGAGGGCATCCATTTATAGGATTAAAGGCTGCGTGGGCCGCTCACAAGCCCTTACATCGCGTTATCTTTGGCAGCAGCACCTTCTAATAGCTCTTATGTCATCCAGTAGCAGCCACGCCGTGTTGTTATGACTCCATCTAATCTGCATATGTTATTTTTTACTAGTCGTTATGACGATTAAACACGGTGTGTGTATGGAGAGGGGGTGTCGGGGTTAGTGTTTGACAGCTACGGTGGCATAAGAGTCTGGCCCAGGTAACGGTTAGCCGCCACAGGCTGCGGTTTCTCCGCTAAACTCACCTCGGATGAAAGCGTCAAGGTCGCCACGAGTAACAGCAGAAACGCCGCGTGCTCCCCCATACCGTCCTCCCGGTGTCCAGCAGCGCCGTTATGTTCACGATTTGTCCGTTTGCACAAAGAGAAATGTCGGAATATGCGTCGACGCAGTGGTGGATGCTATTGTCCTGATCCTGCTGATCCAGCTCCCGGTGACGGCGCGAGGCTGGAGGATGTGTTTGGATTGGTGGGAGCGGGCGGAGGGGCGCGTGTGTGTGTGCGCACGCGCTTACATGTCATTGAGAACCTTTACAATAACAACTACAACATCACCCATTTCAAATAAGATTGTGTTGCATACATTTATGCTGCAAGTCTCTAATGTCCAAACCCACAAGTGTTTTAATATTCTTTGTCCTCAGTAGGTGGCGAGACTTTCGCCGCGTTAGTTATTGATTTCCTTTTATAGGCGTAGTGTGACGGTATTCCGGAGAGGACTTTCATTTCCCAATAACACCACGTCTAAGTGGAGTGGTTTGGCTCGAGGCGCACAGAAGTTACAGAGCTCTCGAAAATGTAGCATCAGAAAGTGTTGTCAGAAGGAGCAGATCAGGACAGCAGACTAACACAGATTATCAATCGCAATCTGGGAAGTACAGATTACCTCTAGCAGCAGTCCACCCGTGGAGGAATTATGCGTTTTTTCCTGCTCTCCGCGTTTTTTGTGGTGTCCGCAGGTAAGTCTTCATGCCAATCAAAACATTTAAATGCAAAGAGATTTATGTCGTTCTCTTCTCATAAAAAGGGTACACATCAGAAATGTCAGTGTTGATTCTTCAATGTTAGCAAATCAGCACGACTTAGTGTTAAATTTATAACGCTAAGACCGGTGTAGAAATATTATTGGCACTGCTCAGTGTTAATCAATTAAGTAGGTCAGTCAATCTTCAACTTCAAAAGTGTTGATTTAACACAAAAAATCTTCACGATGTTTCTTGAGTGTTAATTCTGCATTATATTTGCTGTAAATGCTTAAAAGACCTTCATCTGTTAATCGGTTGTCCGTTCCCAGGTCACACTTTCATGTCAGCTTTTAACACAAAAGTAAACTCTTGAATTTAAGAAGTTAAGACTTAATGCTAGTCGTGAGTTTTATGCTTCCCTCCCTGTTTCAGCTCATAGCTGGGTTCCCTTGACCCCTCTTGGAGGTATTCAGCAACACACTCCCAGTTTGCTTGTTTATTCTGAGTCGCATCAACGGTCCATTAAGACATCTTTGGTCAAGATGTTATGAGACTTATTCTTGGGTGGAGCAATTCTATCACACTTACAATGATACTGAAAATTTTTAAATCTTAAATCTTGGATACCATATGGAGGTTATGTTAGCAGAAAAAAATCTTACTTGTTTACTGTACATGAAAAGCTATTAATATGCTAGACAGATTGTGTTTGTGTATAGATGGAACTCAGATGGAGCTGGGACAGGGGTTTTAGTGCTCCATATGTTTGCTTTATGTGCAAAGATCCCCAGTTTAATTGCAGGAGCTCACTCTTGGCAGCCTGGATCAGAAAATCCAGTGAAGAATTTGTGCCAAATCAAACACAGATCCGTCCACCTGGGGAGTAGCCAAAAGTACTAATGTGTGAACTAGATGAAGTTAAGACCACATTCAATGAGTAACCAAATCATAAATAGTTTAAACAATTCAATTACATGTTCTGCTACAGCAATTAAAAATACCACAGTGTAAGAGCTGTTTGAAAAGCTGTTCTTTTATAATCAAAACTGGATTAAAAAAGCTCACACACATTTTTTTGTACACACATTATCACCTTATGATAGCTCTTACACACACAGCTCTTACCTAAAAATCAAAAAGGTGAATCACTTGCGTGGGTAGAAATGCAAAGCAATAAAATCTGTAGTGCGTGACATCCTAAAAGACGTATCAAGTCAGTTCAACCTTGACTCATTCACCCAGATTCCCAGACGTGGATTAAAGCTAACCCTGAACTAAAAGACTAAAACATTTCTAGTTCATGCCTTAATCTGTGAAACTTAAGCTTTAAGACTTATGAAAGCTTTAGCTCTTCCTTTATCAAAGACATTGCAAACGTTTTTTGGTTTTTTAAATCATACTTTTAGCTATGAGCTAAAGTGGGAGTAACTACTGGGCTGCTGTGGTAAAGTCTATTAGATTACTTAAGGTTCACATCTTTTAACACCCATAAAAGTTACACTTTGTTTTCCTTTTTAGCAGTGAATGTGTATAGAAAGTTTTTTCACTAATGTCACGTGATTGGAAATGTGTTCTTCTTCAACCGTAAACCACTGTTAAAACAGCCTAGGGTGTTAAAACAACAATGTCAAGTTCAGGTCTAACCTGTATAGGAAGGCAATCATTTGTTTTTAGTTCTTTCATTTTAGTATTTGTTTTAATTCAGTTTGTACGTAAGATTAAACAATCAATAATAAAAATCAAATTATGTGCTAAATGTGGTACAGTTACATGTAGTTATATATATATAAAACTCATACATTTTTAGTATTTAGTAATGACTAAACCTGATGCGAATCCTCAGAGATGCAATTTGAATGCACAAATATACATTCTCCCCAAAAAATCTGAAATCTTTCTCATCAGAATCGAGAAATACTTTGATTAAAAGAATTTGATTATTTATAGATACAGAAACAAACACGCCTACTTTGTAAAATCCAGTAAAAAGTCACAGAAGACCTTTGCCTTGACTGTTTTAATTATTTTAGTTTATTGGAGATGACCTGAACTGTCAGGTCAGAGCTGTCTGTTTACATCGTCTGGTTATCATCAGCTCTTTCAGCTCTTTTCTTTCTATGTCTTTTCTTTATTCAGTCTGAAGAAATGCAAACAAATTGAGGCTCATATCTCTAACAAGGAGTGGTTGTGCAATCATGTATAGTTTCATGCCTAGAACATGTTGCTAAATTCCATGTAGCAATTGGCACAATAGAAGGGATTATAATTTGAATATAGAAATATTTAGGCAGTTATCACTTGAAGTGTAAAAGAACGACAGATGGAAAACATGAAACACACAAACAACTGTGCAGATGTACTGGAGATTTATCAGAAAGTGAAACAAGAGCAACAAAAGCAAACATGAGTGATTGTGTGGATGGTAAATAAAAATGTGGCGTTCCCGGGTGGATTGTTTTAAATGTACAGTTGTTAAATATGATGATTGTTAATATTTCACAGGGAGGAATGTACTCAGCTAAACATTACACAAGAACTACATGAAAACAACTAGTTTTAACTAGTAGTTAGTTATTTAGTTTGTTATACTCACTATAGCCTACATAAATATAACACTTTATTAAGCTATAGGCACTTGACTTTGTGCTCTTTTTGTACTATTGATGAACCCAAATCACTGAATTGTGTTTTTATGATTATGCCAGGTCTTTTAGAAGATAAAGCAAATCCTACATATCCTCACGAGAAATACTTTCATCTGAAAATGACTCTAACAGCAGAGCTGTAAAGCCCACAAGTTGTTCCTCAGTTTCTCTGTGATTATTGAACTTTTGTGAAGCAGCAAGTTCTGTGTTTTCCTGTTTTGTCAAGTTTACTTTTGATAATTTAATGCAGCAGGAAAACTGACATTGTGATTCTTATAACTGGACTTATGATTGGTCATCTTTTCTGTTGCAGGTGACGGCATTCCTGTCACTGTCAAAGGCTTTGAGAAAGACGATGTGCTCCTGCCATGTGACTGCCCTAATAGAGATTTGAATAAGGACTTCAAGTGGCAAGTGGACGAAGATGAGGAGAGAGGGGTGGAGGCAAAATTGATCTTCAGATATAATGATGGGACCTTAGATTTTAAAGACAACCTGTCCCACCGATATGAAACATTTTTTCATAAGGACAGCAGTAATTGTTCTGTTCTATTAAAAAACGTCACAAAAGAAGACCAGGGAAAATACAGTTGTCGTGTTTATTCTCCACAATACAAACATTTTTTTGTGAATCTTGTGGTTTGTGGTAAGTTGTACATTGTGATTACCAGCAATTTTTGAATACTCATGAAATTTCATTATTTTAACAAAAATCATCTCTCACCAGGGACACATATTTGTCAGCACAGTGAGACTCGCCCAAATGGTGGAAACGTTTACCAATGTGTTGTAAAGCTTCACTGCTACAAAGAGCCTAACATTCAGTGGACTTTGAACAATGGAACGTGTCTGTCAAATTCAACCACGACTAACATCTCTACCACATACAGCCTGGATGAAGAAACTGACGTCCACTATTTTCACAGTAGACTCGAGACTGAAAGCAACTTCCTCTCAGAGTCTACATGTCAAGTCAATGTCACATGCCCATCTGGTAATCATTCATTTTAAATTGTTATTTCAGCAAAGATGGATCTGAGGTGTTGCCTGGTACTTTTAAAATAAAAGTGCTCTGATATTAAATGCAAAGACAGTAACACTTATTATACAGGTCACTGTGGAACATTTCATAATATCAATTATTATAATTTTTTTTTATTTCCAGCGATGAGTTCAATGTCAGGTACCAGCAAAGACCCCAACCCAGACCCCTATTTCAGGATATTGTGTAAAGGGGTCCCTGTTGTGTTGGTGCTTGGATTTTTGCTGATTTGGTGCCGTCGTGGAACGTCTCACAGTGAGTTTCCTAATGCCACGTGAACTGCATTACTGGTTAAACCAGAGTGACTCTGTTGCTCTTGCTGCAGCTTTTTATCAGCCACTAACAGTTTTGCTAGTGTTTGTTGACATTTGGCTTTGTTACTGTGTCTCTCCAATAATTTAATCTTTCATTTTCTCTTTGTTAAAGATTTTCCGGTGAGGGAAGATGTGTAAAATGGGTGTAAAATAGTGACTTCTCTCAGACGGAGCTCCAAAGTGAAAATGGGAAAGTACTTTCTTCTGAGCCAAAGGAGGTGATTACTCACTGCTGATGCAATAGTGGCTGTTTGCGAAATCTAGTTTTCATCTTTTGTTCCTGCTCATGGAAACTACATCTATTTTTGGAAGCTAAAGGAGGAGGAGATTATTCCATTCATCAGATTTCCTTGTAAACTCTGAATTATATATAACAGATGCTAAGTGCCATATTTACATATTTTATATATGTACCATAACTAGTTTACTCAACATTATTCTGACATTGCTGCACTAATCGGTTATGGGCTTTATTTTCCCTAAGTCTAATATTTGTACCAAAATATTTTCTCGTTTTTTATCTCAATGTACTTAAATACTAACTTGTTATGTATAAAATGTATTTTATTACCAAACTTAAGTTTCTGTGTAAAGGCTTCTTTTCTTTGATGACATGGAAAAATGTAATGTGTTCTTCTGTAACTGTCTTTTTGGTACATGG